TAAAGGGACTGAATGGCCCTTAACAGAAAGCCACCCACCCCATACTCCTGGAGCGTCCCCCACAGGGTGCCCCTGGGGACACGGTCATAAGCCTTCTCCAAATCCACAAAGCACATGTGGATTGGTTGGGCAAACTCCCATGCCCCCTCCATCACCCTTGCAAGGGTATAGAGCTGGTCCACAGTTCCACGGCCAGGACGAAAACCACATTGCTCCTCCTCTATCTGAGATTCAGCTATCGATCGGACCCTCCTCTCCAGTACCTTGGCGTAGACCTTTCCAGGGAGGCTGAGGAGTGTGATCCCCCTATAGTTGGAACACACCCTCAGGTCACCCTTCTTAAAGATGGGGACCACCACCCCGGTCTGCCACTCCCTAGGAACTGCCCCCGATGACCACCATGAACACCATGTTCGAACATAAGGATGCCCACCGGTACACTTGGTACCAGGTCAGCCTAGGTCACAGGTCGATGATAGATTTTGTAGTCGTATCATCTGACCTGCGGCCGTATGTTTTGGACACCCGAGTGAAGAGAGGGGCGGAGCTGTCAACTGATCACCACCTGGTGGTGAGTTGGATCAGATGGCAAGGGAAGATGCCGCGTAGACCTGGCAGACCCAAACGCATAGTGAGGGTCTGCTGGGAACGCCTGGCAGAAGAACCTGTCAAGACGGTCTTCAACTCCCACCTCCGGCAGAGCTTTGACCACGTCCCGAGAGCAGTGGGGGACATTGAGTCCGAGTGGGCCTTGTTCCACTCTGCGATTGTTGAGGCGGCTGTTGCTAGCTGTGGTCGTAAGGTGGCCGGTGCCAGTCGTGGTGGAAACCCCCGTACCCGCTGGTGGACACCAGAGGTTCGGGGAGCCGTCAGGCTGAAGAAGGAGGCCTACAGGGCGTGGCTGGTCTGTGGGTCTCCGGAGGCAGCAGACAGGTACCGGATAGCCAAGCGGGGTGCAGCAGTGGCAGTTGCCGAGGCAAAATCTCGGGCGTGGGAGGAGTTTGGTGAGGCCATGGAGAAAGACTATCGATCGGCTCCAAAGAGGTTCTGGCAAACTGTCCGGCGCCTCAGGAGAGGAAGGCAGCAACTCGCTCACACTGTTTACAGTGGGGATGGGGAGCTGCTGACGTCAACTGAGGCTATAGTCGGACGGTGGAAGGAATACTTTGAGGAGCTCCTCAATCCCACCAATGCGCATTCCGAGGAGGAACCAGAGCTGGGAGGCCTGGGGATGGACTGTCCGATCTCGGGGGCAGAAGTTGCTGAGGTAGTCAAACAACTACACAGCGGCGGAGCCCCGGGGGCGGATGAGGTTCGTCCTGGGTATCTCAAGGCTATGGATGTTGTAGGGCTGTCATGGTTGACACGTCTCTACAACATTGCGTGGTCATCAGGGGCAAACGATTTGGGTCAAAAGAGGACCGAACCAGAAAGGAAATTGCATTAAGCATAACGTGAGTGGACCACATCAGATACAGAACATAACTAAAAACGTGGTTTTAACTGAATCCGGTATGCACGTTCACCCTCATCAAGTGATAAGATAACTTCACGGATGAAAATACTTAGTTAAAAGTCATGGCTGGATTAAATCCTGGTACTGAAAGGATTTGTCCGAATCTGTGCAACACCGGCCTCGTTATGATGTCGGGGGGGGGGGGGGGGTGTCTGTCACAGCCTGCAAGGTGGCCATGTTTCCTGGTTTCACAGCTTCCCCAGCTGGGTATCGCTATGCTCAATGGCGGGGGTGGAAGCCGGGAACATGTATTATGTGTGGAACTCATTGTTCCTCACTTAAGTGGTCGGGGCTCCGGGAGGATAAGCCAACTCACCTGGAAAGGAGAGCGGACTTACACTTAGGAGCAGTGGAACTCTCTGCCCCAATTAAAATTTGTTTTTGCAGGACCTGCTTGAGACATGAACCCAGCATCCGCTCCTGGCAGGTGTGTGAGTGCACCCATGGAGGCGAAAGCAAAGATGGATGCTGCTTCATAAAAGATGGTGTTTTGACTACCTGCTTACCAACATGCCAACCCAGCCTCTTTTATGTGGGAGAGTTACTCAGGGACCCTAGCCAGGTGAAAACAGTTAGGGACTTATGGGTGGAGGCTTACCCGTTTGTTATCAAGCACAAGACTAGAGAAAAGGAACTAGAAGAGCTTCAAGCTCGATCCCGCTTCGAGTCTATTAAGAGTTTGATATCAGGACAGCAATTTGGGATGCTGGCTGATGCATGGGAAGCAGGTACACAAATAGGAGTGAGCCAAGAATATAAACATGAAAGGTGGGGCACCTATCTGTCTGGGAATCTTGATTGGCATACAGGTTTGTCTGTTCAGGAGCCCCCAGGAATGTGTAAACGGGTGACCTCATGTCTGGTTGAGCTAAAGAGCCTTAGACCAGGGGCGGAGTGTAAGTTCATGCCTTATCAGCTGACATTAATAGAAGCAGTAGACCTGTCAGGTCAAGTTTGCAGCTTAGCAGATTATTAGCCAAAGACTTATGGGACTGCTTATACTAAAATGTCTCGTAGCAGGCTGGTCCCTGGTCTGACACAAATTAATTAGAGCAGGACACTTTCACTTCCTGCTGATTTTTATGCTTCTGTTTTGCAGATGTTCTCTCCTCAGAAGCATAAAGGGGATAGCTGCAGGAAGCGGAAGGTTGTCAGGTATGCATCAGCTCCGGCTGGAGTTGATCCCGAAGACACACAGAGATATGTAAAAATTCCAAAAGGGAAGAATTGGATGAAAAATTGGACCAGATGGGCCTTCTTCATTCTTTTCGAACTAAGCCTCATAACATTGAGCATAACAATAGCGTTGCTGTTGTGTTCATGTCAAATTAAACTGATCACAAAACACAGATTTACTTTCTTTATTTCGTTTTCCTCATCCAGCCCCCATAAATCCCTGTGTGTTCTCCTGCAACACTCCCGAAGGACAACAGGCAATACAAGACAAAAAAGTCTGACGTGTTGAGTAAAAACGGCTATTTTTGGCATATATTTTTAGGGCCGACGTGTTGCTACCAGACGTACAGTGTGAGCAGTCAGATCACATCCGAGAACTGGGTCGTGCAGTATGAGCGCATGACTCGTGAGATCTGCCCTGCGAGGAAGTCGTACAGTTTGAGCTGAAGCTGAGTGCTACGAGTGAAAAAGTCACACAGTGTACGCCCGGCTTCAGTCATCTGAGAAGAACCAAGTTTCAGGGTCAAAGGTCATCCCTTTGATGAAAGTCTTATACCACGCACTTGAATGCAACACTTCATATTTGCATACACAGGCAACAATACACTTCCATTCCATTAAGCGCTACATAAAAATCCTTTCTTGTCCTTTGTGTGCTTCTGTGAAGTCTTTGGATGGACAAGTTCAGTTGACCACATTCAAGACTGGAGAGAGACAAGTGGGCCAGCCTGAAAGACTGACAACCCCCAACACCCAAGCACAATCCATTGGCCGTCATCTGTGGCTGGCTGCATTTACAAATGAAAGGCAGCTAACAATCAGTGATTTAGTCATTGTTATCTAACCAAGCAGTCATTTGACAAAGCTCTGGTAGAGCTGGGGGAATCAGAAAATGCTGTGAGTTTGTTGCAAATCTACTACGCCTGCCTCCAGAGGGGCTAAAAAATGTGAGGACCACAAAAATGACCTCACTCTGTTGGTTAAAACCCTCAAGATGGCCCTCAGTACTGTAGGTACCAAGTACAACAAGCTACATACTGTAGCTTTTTTGGTTTCATTTGTGCCATTTCAAATGGTTTTAATCATTCGTCGCATTATTTATATTTTTGATAGTGCTGATAACTGTTCTCTTATTGTTTTTAGTAGAAATTTTAATCCTTGATTATTTATGCTATGTTTTTATGAATTTTACCTGCTTTCATTGTGTTTTGTTGATTTGTTTGAGCATTTGGCTCTTTTATGTACAGCACTTTGGTTAGCTGCTATGCTATTTTGAAATGGTGCTTTATAAATAAATTGGTATAGTATGGTGTGGTACAAGAACACACCTACACACACACACATGCTCCACTTGAATGGAGAAAAGGTGGCTTGATGAATTAACTTAATAACTCTAATGTCATATATTTTGGTCTGACTCAGTGTTCTGAGTCTCTAGCTGGTGCAAAGTGCTGCAGCTAGACCTTTAACTGGAATGAAGAAAAGAGAAAGCGTCAGTCCTACTTTAATGTCCCTGCACTGACTCCTGGTCAGGAATTGTGTGGTTTTTAAGATTTTATTTGTTTTGAAAGCTCGTAATGTGCCCCCCCCCCCCCATTTTTCTTAACTATTATCTCCATACAATAGTACTCTGTATCTAACATCTGCAAAACAATTACTTTTTACTGTTCTGTTGTCTAGTGATTGGGCCTTTGCAGTAGCAGCCCCAAAGCTTCAGAATAATCTTGGTTTTGGGGAACAGACGTGTCTCCCACTGTCATTTTTAAATCTAGTTTTAAAACACATTTAATTAATTTATTTATTAGCTTTTGAGTGTTCTTAACTGTTTTTACTGTTGTTGTTGTTCTGGAACATTTTCCAGGCTTTTCTTAAAGTGCAGACCTGTGCCAGATTATTGGCTCATGCATTCAAGGTGTGCCTGCTCACAGGAAGAAGGTCCCACCCACTGGAGAGCTGCTGCAAGGGAGAGAAAACATTCCACAGCAGAAAATAATCCAGGATCATGACAGTTGCAAAAAAGTGGTTCACATGAAGCTGAAAAACAGCTTACTGTCACAGAAAGTTTACTTTACTCTTAATTTCATGCATTCATGTTATTTGCTACACATGTAAGTTATACAAAATAAGTCTTAACCAAGTAATCATTCGGCTTTAAATGTAATACTCACACACAGAATTACAAATGGGATCAATGTGGTTTTGTTGTAAAGGAGTTCACTGATGTACATACATACCTTTCCTGTTGTGCTAAAAGGCCACGCCTATTTCCCCATGCTAAACTCTTTTTATCTACCTCCCCAAAGTGAAACCAGCACTGACCTGTTTGGTAAGGCAGCTCTGCTGTTTGTTCGCTGTGGCATGTTCAGACATTTGGATTTCATCACATTTCTTTCAGTCGCATTTTCTTCAAATTTTACTGAGCACAAGTAGGAAATGAATGACCTGGGTGGCACAGACAAAGGCAAATATAAAGATCAGGTGAGTAGGTTTTAAATAGGTAAACAAGTAAATAAATAATAATGCTACAAGATGGTAGTAAGGAATGCATTACTGTCAACAGGAAGTTGTTGCCATACATACTATCTGTAATCTTTGGGAAGTTTAAATTATCTCAGGTTTCCAATCCATTCCACCATTTGGTCAGTATTTAAATTGGTCATACTAAGTAAACTTAAAGTAAAAAAAAAACACAAGTTAACATTCTTTTTTTATTATTATTTTTGGATTGAGAAATTAATCAAATAACTCAAGGATGAGTACAGTGATCAAAGCCTACTGGTTGTGCAGCACCAGGCTAAAGACCAATCATTTGCTGCTGTGGCCCCCAGACTCTGGAACTCTCTCCCCCTGATCCTGAGGTCAGTGGACTCAGTGGTCTCCTTTAAAAAGCTGCTGAAGACTCACCTGTTCAGGCTGTTTTTGGTGTGACCTTCGGTTGAGTCTTCATCACTACCTTCTCCTCATTCAGCACTTTCTACCAATTTCACCTTTCCAGAGGTGGAAAGTAACAAATTACATTTACTTGCATTACTGTAACTGAGTAGCTTTCTTGTGTGTTTATATTTTTTAAGTAATTTTTTAAATCTGTATTTTACTTTTACTTGAGTGTGTTGTTAAAAGAATTGTACTTCGCTACATTTTCAATCATCCGTTACTGAGTAAAAAAATTATAGGCTTAATAAATTAAAAATATTGCTCTTTGCAGCGTCGGGACAGAGACACCTGCATGAGCGCCACATCTCACCCATAGGGGTTGTGGGCGTACACTTTTATAATGAGGACGTTGAACAGCTACACTTTTATCCCCTCTCTTCCTCCTTCTCCTGTTGGTTGACACCCACCTCTTTGTGTACCGGTGTTACATCGGTATTCTGCTCGGTTCGATAGCTGGACTCGGTTCTGTCTTTGAAACGTGTTTAACCAACTGTTCTGCACGGTAGCTGCAAAAGAACACTTTGTGCTAATAACAAGCTGATTCCAAGTATGGCCTGCTCAGAAAACGGGAGACCTGCAGCCTCTGTGACTTTAAACATCTTGTTTGTGTAAATCAACACTTAATTACTGGAGCTAATTTAGTTGTAAATTTGCTCCATCCCTGTGTGTGTGTGTGTGTGTGTGTGTGTGTGTGTGTGTGTGTGTGTGTGTGTGTGTGTGTGTGTGTGTGTGTGTGTGTGTGTGTGTGTGTGTGTGTGAACTCAGAAGTTGTTTCTTGATGCCACAGATATGTGATGATCTAGCCCAGAGGTGTCAAACTCATTTTAGCTCAGGCGCCACATTGAGGGAAATCTAGTCCCAAGTGGGCCTGACCAGTAAATTAAAAACAACTTCAGATTGTTTTCTTTGTTTTCATACAATCAATATAAAACAAGGCTGGAGCCTGAGGACAGTGTATCCAAAATAGTACAAGTACAACATCCGAAGTGTACTTGAAAATTTGAAAAAAAAAAAAAAAAAAAAAATCAATAAATAAAAAAAACATTCCTTAGTGATTCAAAGAGCTTACATATCATATGGCTAGATCAGTTTCATGCAGCACTTAAAGTATATTTGACTCATTTTACTTTACATCTTTTAGCTTTCACCATCACATCAATATCAGAAGTCACATCCTGAGTGGCGGCCAACTTCAGGATGTGATTCAAGTTCTTATGTGAGCCTTGAGCGCAGCTTTGTTTTATTTATACTCATTACACAGAAAACTTGCTCACAAAGATAAGTTTGTTTTCACTCTACATAAAGAAAGAAAATAAAGTTTACACAACCATCCCGCGGGCCGGATTTAACCCGCTTGCAGGCCGCATGTTTGACACCCCTGATCTAGCCTGTTCCTTTATTTTACTCAAGAATAAGAGATTAAATTATTACAAAAGCAGATCAATGTAGTTGAATTAGTCATTTAAATGATTCTAAAATAATGCTCTGTGTGTGTGTTACCAATATAAGACTGCATGAGACAGTGTGGTTTCATCAAATTCATGCATCTTATTTCTTGCTTGAATTAATAGCTCATAAACAAAAACTATCTTTAATAAATAATGACTCAATAGCGTCTACGATAATATTTTGTATAATACCTATCTTTGGTCTGGGAGGTGTACAAGCCTTTTAAGACATTAAATGTGTGTTACACAAGGAGATAAATGCATGAATAAATGTCTATTGTTCATGTTTGGAGACCAGCCTTCACAGTTTGGAGACAGTTAGTTCTAGTAACACCTGGGCGCCCAAGGCGTATTCTGATGGAATGGACGTTACGGAACGCTTAAGGAGTCCAGTTGGATGATTGGTGGATTATTTAAGAAGACTGGAATGAACAAGCTGATTTTAGTGGTGAACGGTTAAACGAGTGAGTGGACCCACAACCAAGCATTAACATGGCTAACTTTAAAAATCAGCAGCTCTAAATAAGCATGAAGGTCAGAGAGTAAAAAAAAGTCATCTGAGAAGGGTATCTGTTTCATGTAACCTAACTTCCAACATGATTGAGACTTCAGACTGTTTTTGATTATTTTACTGTAAAAATGTTACTTTTTGTACCTTAAGTGCAGTTTCTGGTTGGCAGAGGGCTGCAGAGTGCTTCCCTGTGTGAAACTGGCCAAGGTTGTGGCTGAAGAACCATTCAAATTCGGTTTTGTTGGATCATCTGGGTCCTGAAAGTTTTAGAATAATCAAGCACAAAGTGGAAAAACTACTTTGTACCTCAGTGAACCTTCGGTGTTTTGGGCTGGAGTGGAATGAATGAATTTGTCATTCCTTATGTCAAATGATCCACAGCCAAACTATCATCATTCTGTGGTCAAGTCAGTCCACATTTGGAAATAATCAGACAAACCAGCCAGAGTTTGGGCTTTCTGAATTATTTTTGTCTACAGTAAAAGAACAGGGGTCTCATTTATCAAACATTGCGTAGAATCCTTACTAAAACCGTACTTAAGCTCAGCAAAAAAAATGTACTCACGCCAAGTAGATTTGTAATTTATCAAACATGGAGTACGACCAGCTGCACGCAATCTCCGCTTCATAAATCAGAAACTATCTACAAATGTTCTCAGCTGCATTTTAGTCACATCCCGCCCTCACCACGCCCACTTACTGCCATAAATGGTCGATGCAAAGTGCCTTGTGGATCTCATGCATATACATAAAGCCGGCTTGTTGAAGCATTTCGATCATGACTGCAGATCAAGGAAGCGCTATTTCCCAAGCAGAAATTCAGGTACCTGTGGGTGAGGTGGAGAAATGAAAGGAAGTGCTTTTGAAAAACAAATAAGAGAAAATCCACGGAGTGGCACAGCGTTGCTGAAGCCATCAATGTTGTAAATTCTTCAGAGAGATCTGTGGCGGATATAAAAAAAATGATCTGATCAGGATTTGATCCCCAGGGTGAACGTCACGCACAGTAACCAGTCAGCCAGACAGGAATCTCCCTTGTCCAAGAAGCCAGGGCGGATGATCAATCGGGTCACAGTGACAGGACACACACTGTCACAGACGCATGACATTCTGTCTCAATCTGTCCCCCTGCTGATTTTCTGCATTCCGTATTCTGCGCTTCAGGCTGTGTGTGTGTGTGTGTGTGTGTGTGTGTGCACACGCGCGTGTTTGTGTGTGTGCGCGTGTGTGTGTGTGCGTGTAGGGGGTCTTGTTCTGTGTGCGTATGAAGTGATACAGGTGATAATGCTGCAGAATTTCATAATTTTATCCTTCTCAGCAGCAGCACTGCAGGTGCTCTCCATGTCCAACATGTGCGAAGCCAGGTCCTTAGTCAACTTAAAGTTGCGCACATTTTTCCGCTAAGTTTTCTTTCATAAATCCCAAAGTTTGCGTGGAAAGTTGCTTACTCAGTTTTCCGACCCCGTTTTGTGCGTAAGCAAGCTTGATAAATGAGGCCCCAGAAGTTTTGCTGTTTCAGGCTATAAAAGAAAACTAAAGAGAAGAAATGGAAAAGTTTAATCAAAATTACCTGTTACGTTCACAAATGCAGGCGGCCACCTTTTGAACATTTCAGTGAGACGGGGTCATGGGGTTGGGAGCAGACAATTCGCCGACTGTTTAGAGTGGGGGAGGGTCATTAATATTGAGACTTTTTGTGCTCTACATTTTATTTATTTATTTCTACTCTGTACGGAAGAGGATTAGAGCCACTGACAAGAAAAGAAAGAGAATTCTTACTTTTTTCTGTCTTTTAATCTCAGAATTCTGACGGAATTCTGGGGAAAAAAAATCAGAATTCTCTTTCTTTTCTTTTTTTCTTTTCTTTTCAGTGACCCTAATCCTCTTCCGTACCTCTGATTTTACAGAGGGAACTGACCTTTGGTTAATACAAATTTTCTTTTTGTGAGGAAAATTTAACATTCAACTTTCCTGAACTTCTTCACATTACCTACCTACCTACCTACCTACCTGCCTGCCTGCCTGCCTGCCTGATATCTATCTATCTATCTATCTATCTATCTATCTATCTATCTATCTATCTATCTATCTATCTATCTATCTATCTATCTATCTATCTATCTATCTATCTATCTATCTATCTATCTATCTATCTATCTATCTATCTATCTATCTATCTATCTATCTATCTATCTATCTATCTATCTATCTATCATCATCATCATCATCATCATCAGTAAAGAGTTACAGCTACATGTCACAAATGTCACACAGGAACTTTTAATTATAATTCATGTAAATGTTTTAAATTCCATCTAGGGGTGGGCAATATCATGTCATTCATAATATTACCAGTTATTGTTTCCTGCCAAGAAAAAAATCTGTCATGTTAAGCTAACTTCATGATGTAATTGCATCCACTAAACAGAGGGTTATGTTCATGTGGGTCATCAGCATGAAGTTATTGACGTTATCAAAGCAAACATGGCTGTAATCTCAGTTTTACCTGTAATCTGTTTCTCTAAGTGTATGTGCTGCTGTGAGTTAATGTCCCCTCTGTGGGACTAATAAAATGTACTCTATTC